GGGCGCCGCCGCGGGCCTGGCAGAGGGGGCTCCAGCTTCTCCCGCTTTCCCGCGCGTGCCCCGCCCTTCTTGTCCCCAGGCTGCCGTCCGCGCTCGGCTCTTCCAGGCGCCCGGCCTGGCCTGTTGCTCCCTTTGTGAGGGCGACTTTCTAGGGACCTGGAAAACAGACCTGCTCAACAGCTGGCTCATGTGTGCCTGGGCCGGGTGCTTGGGACTGACCCTCCCCAGTCACCATCTTAACTTTTAGCCCGGTTGGCAAGACGCACCTGTCTCTGGCCTGCCCTCCTGGCCTCCTCCTCAAGGGGCCTGCGGGGGGGGGGGCGGGGAGGGTGCCCTTAGGGGTAACTTGGCACAGTTCCCCTGACCTTGCTGGGCCCTGCCCGGGGCCCTGGGGGACCACAGCTGGCAGAGACCTCAGGGGCAGAAAGGCAGGGCTGGCCACTGAGGACGGGGAGGGCGGGTGGACTAGGCGTGTGAGGCTGTTACTAACGGGGGGAGCCGGGGCTGCCTGCTGGGGGCCAGTTCCAGAGTCCACGCTGAATGGGTTGTTTGGAGGCCTGTTGGACTTTCAGATGACATCTTCAGAGGAGCCTGGGGCATGGGGGGGCGGGCGCAGACGCTGTTGGTGCCAGTGGTGAGCGCGGGCTCACACCAGGCCGTGAGGCGCCCTGGAGGGTGGGGGGCAGGGGACCCAGGGCTCCTCCCTGGTGCTCCCAGGGCGGCCCGTGAGCAGGGCGGAGCAGGCCGTTTGGCGCGAGCGCGCTCCGGGGTTTGGGATCAGTGCGCCCTGACCTAAAGGGGGGGGTTGGGGGCGGCTGCTAGAAGGCCTGAGCAGCGGGATCTGCACCACACTCACGTCGCCGAGCGCTGCCCCACGCCCCGTGGAGTTGCGTGCGTGTTGCGTGTGCCAACACCATCGGGGGTGCGTGCGTGCGTGTGCCTGGCAGTGCCGTCCTGGAAGGGCCCGAGCGGGTGGGTACGCCGCCCAGGGCGCCCATGACCAGAGAGTGATGATGGACGGGAGGAGGCGCTGGGTGGGAGCCCTGCTGCGTGGCTCTGGAGTGGCTGTCCCCCCAGGAGCACCTCAGGGAGCATTTACGCACCGACGGGGACGAGGCTCTGGTCCGGTCGCCGAGTGCAGGGTCCTGTGCGGACGGACGCGAAGCTGAGGCAGCAGCTGTCGCAGGGCTCGAAGCCCGGGGGCGACGTGTGTGTGTGTGTGTGTGTGTGGGGGGGCGTCCCCAGTCCCTCCCGTCACAGGCAGGCTGGCCCGGCAGAGCAGGGCGTGCTCAGAGGCCGGGGGACACTGCGGTGTGCCCAGACAGCCCACGGCTGCTCAAGGGCGTGCCCCGATTCTGTGACCCCCTGCTGTCCCTGGGCAGGGCGGAGCTGGCAGGGCGGGTGGCGACTGTCTGGTACTGAGTCGCCGCTGGCCCGGCCTGCGCGGAGCGAGGTTTGGCTTCGCAGTGTCACAGTGACATGGGCCAAATGAGGCTTAGAAACTTCTAGTCTTGGATTGCAAACCTTTCAGGTTCCCCCGGTAAACATTTCAGCAGAGTGCTAGGCAGGGTAGGACTAAGCTTGCTCTTCATCCGCCCGGTTGAAGGTTCAGTCCTGGAAGCTCGGAGGGGCACAGTGATGTGAGCAACTCGGCTCATCGGATGGTGGCGGATCAGCTTGGGGTCCTCGTGCGCTGGCATCGGGCAAAGCGCTGCCCAACCCGTTCTCTGGGGGTTCACCTGCAGAATCTCAGCCCGGGAATTTACCCGGGGCACTTCATCTGGGCTCCCTCGCCTCCAGTTGTCCAGCAGAGTGGTCAGCTGCTGCTGTCTCTGGCTATGCAGAGACTTCTGAAACTGCCCTGATCGGTGTTCTTTTGGGTTTTATTTTGTACAGATTTATTTATTTATGCATATAGGAACTGGGGTACAGGCCAGAGGTGCAGGGGTGAGAGGATTCACCAGACAGAGTGGGGAGCAGAACAGGCAGATCTACTGAGACACCCTGCTGAGAGGCAGCGAAGAGACCAGAGGGGTCTGCTGTGCCCTGGGGTCCCTCCCTGGCCGGGGTTGAACTCGTGCTGCAGCGGCTGCCGATGGCGTCATGGTGCAGCTCTTTAAACCCTTGCGCCACCGGGAGGCCCACACTTGGACTTTAATTGGCTTTAAACAGGAAAGGATGCCCAGCTTGCTGCCTCCCGCACCGCGATGGAGACTGAGCCAGGCAGAGGAAGCAATTCTTTGTGGAGGCTGCCAGGTCCTTACCTGCGATTTAGTCGTGACTGGTTTCATTTATTTATTTTTAGCAGGACAATTGTCTACATTTATTTATTTTTTGAATGTCTCTATCATTTTCGCGCAGTGGACGGTTTCCCCGTGAAATCCCCCCAGGGCCCCCCGTGCACCATCAGCACGGTCCCTTGTGCCCTTCCCACCCTGTCCTGGTCCTTCCCTCTCCTCCTCCGCTACAGAGGGTCTCTGACCCATAGTTGCCTATTGCAGTTACTTCTGTTTTCCCTGATCCCTTATTTGGTTCCTCTGCCTTCCTCCTTTAAGTGAGACCATTCGATAACTCTTCTTTTCCTGGCTATTTCACTGAGCATAATCCCTTCCAGCTCCACCCATGATGCTGCAGAGGGCATGAGTTCATCCTTTTTGATTACTGAGTAATATTCCATGGTGTAAACACACCACATCTTCTTGATCCAGTCACGTATTTTTGGGCCTCTGGGTTGCTTCCGTAGCTTAACCTACTGTAACTTGTGCTACAGTAAACATAGGGGTGCAGGTGTCCTTTTGAATTAATGTTTTTCTGTCCTTTGGGTAGATCCCTAGGGGCTGAAAGAGCTGGATCTTACGGAAGCTCCATTTTTAGCAGTTTGAGGAACGTCCACACAGTTCTCCATAGTGTTTGGACCAGTTTGCATGCCCAGTGACTGATTTTATACCATGAGGAATTAGAAGTATCAGGTTACTTTTTTTTTTTTTAAGATTTATTTATTTATACCTATGGAAATGGGGCACAGGCCAGAGGGGCGGGGGTGGGGGTGTGTGCGAGAGGATTCACCAGAGACAGAGTGGGGAGCAGAGCAGGCAGATGGACTGAAACCCACTGCTGAGGGGAGCAGCGGGCGGGTCAGGAGAGGTCTGCGGCGCCCTGTGGGTCACCCCCAGGGCTGGGATCACCTTTGCCGCATGGCTGCCGGTTTCATAGTGCTGCGCTTTAACCTATCGTGCCACCAGGGGCGCCCTCAGGTGACTGTTTCTGCATCCCCCTCTGACTCTGACTCCTTTAACCCCGTGTTTGTGACTTAGGTGAGTGAGGCGGTAACTGTCGCCTGGAAGTGTTGGCGGCTACATTCTGTTGCTCTTGGCCTTGAAGTGCATTATTGGTTTGAAAACTGACAAGACGTTAATGGCACGCTCTACTCTCAGTGTTTGAATTCTGTGTTCTTTAAGTTTACTCGCAAAAACAAAATATAGAAAACAAAAAAACCTCACCCCCAGCCCCATGGCCTGTGCCGTGGTCTAGTGTGCATAGATAAGTACATCTTTAAACAGCCAGAAAGCGTGTCTTCTGTGTCGGTGGCCTTCGCGCGTGGCAGCTCCCAGGTGAACTGCCGTCATTCCGCTTCCGTCTGTGCCCGAGGCCGGGCCAGGACCAGCCGCGTCCCGGCGAGCCGGCCTTGCGCACAGAGCGCCGCGGGGTTCGGCCCGGTGAGCTGTGCCTCTGGGTCGGTGTTCGGCATGTGTTTGGAGACGTTCCCGAGGGAGTAGGGTTCATTCTGCTCTGTGTGATGTGGAATATTTCGCATCTATTTTGAACCCCGTGACCTCCAGGAGCCTCCGTTTGCTACGGACCGCGCGGCCCTGGAGCTGCCGGGGGCTCGGTGCTGGTGGCTGCGGCCCCTGTGGGCCCCCCGCCCCCCGCCTGCGCTGACCCCTGGGGCCAGTGTGAGGGTATGTTGGTGGCTGCTTTTTGTAGAAATCCTGCTTTCAGAAACAGTTGCTTCTGATCATATTTTGCACTTTAGAGAATGTTCCGGGCGTGTTGCTACTGCGGTGTGCACCTCTGTTAGTACCTGTGAAGGTGGGGTGTTCTCGTCTCTGGAAGAGTTAAGGCTGGGGCCGGCCGGCCCTGAGAGCGCCTCTTTGTTTAAACATTTATGTTACCTGTTTATGCATGCAAGACTGGGGTGCAGTCGGAGGCATGTATGGGGGTGAGAGGATCCACTGGAGACAGAGTGGGGAGCAGAACAGGTGGATCCCCTGAAATCCACTGCTGAGGGGAGCAGTAGGGGGACGGGAGGGGTCTGCTGCGCCCTGTGGTCCCTCCCTGCCCAGGGATGGCACTCGTGCCTCAGGGGCTGCGGCAGCTTCGACCCCTGTGCCCCCAGGGAGGTCTTATAGGGGCCACCCCGGCCTGGCCCCCGCTGAGATGCTCCAGAGGAAGCCGGGCGCTCCCTCACCCCCTCTGCTCGGGAGCCCCGAGCTCAGCCCACACCAGGACCGGAGAGCTGGCGCTGGGCCGGCCGAGTCGGCGAGCCCGCCGGCTGGCGGGCGGGCTGCGGCCCCGCAGTCTGGGGGTGGCTCGTGTCCCTGGGACCCCAGAGGGCTTTATTCGCGGGCAGCTCGCTTTCCTGGCCGCGGACACGCAGTAGCTGCTGTTTCTGCGGAGGGAATCCAGCCCTTTCGGAACTTTAATGCCCCGACGAGGGGGCACTTGTCTGGCATGGTTTCTCTGGCTTCTGAGCGCCCCCGAGGGGCAGCCTCGGCCCTGCTGCGCAGCACCCTGGCCGCGGCTGCAGGGCTGGTGGCCCTCACGGAGGTCTAGGTCTGGCCTGCGGCGGCCTAGAGTTGGCTCCCAGGGTGGCACCGTGACAGCTGCCAGCTGAAGGAGAGGGAGATAAGGAACGCCCCAGGGCGGAGCTGGCGCCTGCTGGTGGCCTGAGGGGGGGGAGGGCGGGCGCCTCGCGGGCAGTGGGGTGGGAGGCCTGGCCGCAGGGAGTGCAGCTTGGCGGCGGCTTAGACGGGGCGCTGCCCGCTGCCCGCTCGCACCCTGGCCGTGCCCGCAGCTGGCTTCTGTGCCTGGCGCTGTCCGTCCGCGCGGGCGCCTCCAGGCGCTGGGAGCCGCCCGCCCCGCAGCGACGCGTGCCCCTCTCTTGCAGACACTACAAGAAGCGCTGCCAGGGCCGCATGCGGAAGCACGTGGGGGACCTGTGCCTGCAGGCGGGCATGCTGCAGGACGCGCTGGTGCACTACCACATGGCGGTGGAGCTGCTGCGCGCCGTCAACGACTTCCTGTGGCTGGGAGGTAAGGCCGGGCCGCCCCCGCGGCGCCTGGGGCGCCACCCAGGCCGGGCTCCCGCTGTCCCCTGCTCGTGCTCGGCCCCGCAGGCCGTCCCCGTGGCCGCGGTGCGGCTGGGCGCGGGGCTGGCGGGCGCACCCTGGGGGGGGCTTCTCGGGGTGACAGACCTGCTGGGCTAGAGGTGAGACTGCACAGCGGTGGGCACTGCCAGGCCGCTCTCTGCCCCTCCTCGGGGTCGGGGCCGGAGAGCCTCGGGGGGTGATGGCCGGGCTGGACGGGACCGCCTGGACTCGGCCCGCGGACGATGAGTGGCCTGTCGCTGCCGGGGCCAGCGGCCTCCTGGGGCTCTCGTCCCTGTTTGGGGGGAGGCTGGCACGCCCACGCGACCGCGGCGCCGGCCACACCTCTGTCTGGCCACGGCCTCCCCTGACGGTGCCCTTGCCGGTTCTGCTTCCGCCCCCAGCTGCCCTGGAGGGGCTGTGCTCCGCCTCTGTCATCCTCCACTACCCCGGCGGCACGGGCGGCCCGGCTGGCGGCCGGAGGCTCCAGGCGGTGCCTGCCGAGGCAGCCAACAGACACCGGCCAGGTAAGCCCCGCGCGCCTGCTGTCTGGGTGCTGAGCGGAAAGCCCACACGCGACGTTTCCGCTGGTTTTGTCGCTTGCTCGCTGATGCTTTGAATCTTACTGAGTGAGAGCAGTGGGCTGCAGTGGCCGGGTGGCTCCGGGCGCTGGCGTGGCGTTGCGTGGCGGGCTGACCCAAGCGCTGACTCTGGGTCTTGTTAAAGATTTATTCATTTATTTATTGATGCACGCAGAACTGGGCCGCAGGCCAGAGGCGCACGGGCGGTGAGAGGCTCCCCAGAGACAGAGCGGGGAACAGGACAGGCAGATCGATGGGGCCCACTGCCGAGGGGAGCAGCGGGGAGACAGGAGCGGTCTGCTGCGCCCCGTGGGTCACTCCCCGGCCAGGATCGAACTCAGGCTGCAGCGGCTGGGGCGTCAGGGTGCTGCGCCCCCGGAAGCACCCCGGGACTTTGTCACGATCTCATGTGCCACTTTTCGCAGCAGACACCGGGCCTGGGCGAGGTTTCCTGTGTAGGGTGAGGGCGTTCCTCACCGAGTTTGGGCCGCCCCGCGTGGGCTCAGCAGTGAAGGGTGAGGCTGACCGAGCTTGCTCGCTGGAGGAGTGTGGCCCAGGACGTGCGGGGTGCGGATTGCCTCTGTTGGTTTGGGCAGTGGTGGTCCGCGGCGGGGGGAGTGGTGCTGGGGGACCGTCCCCTCCTCGTGCCCCACGGGGGCTCTGCCCCCCAGGGGTGCCTCCCACTGGGCTCCCTCTGAGGAGGAGTGTGGGGCTCCCGCTCGTATGATTAGGTCTTCTAGAAGCGCCCAGGGCCATGTCATTTCCCCCAAGCTGAGTGGAGGCAGGGCACTATTGAAAGGCTGTGTCCTCGAGCCTGGCCCAGCGCAGGGTGTCCTGCCTTCCGGCCAGGGCCCGGTGTGCTTGGCCTCGGCCTTGGACTCTGCCTCCCGGACCCGATGGCGGCGTGGGCCTCCTCCTAGCGCTAGGAACTCCCGCGTCACAAGTCAGTCACTTAGCACCGGGTGCCTGGAGCAAGTCATTCACTCTCTCTGCACCTCGGTTTCCTTGCCGGAAGCGAGAGAAGGCAGCAGTGCCCTGGGCTCCCCACCTGCAGCCCGGGTCGCGCCCTGGCTCTCGTCAGGCCAGTGGCCGCTGCCGCGGCGCTGACCGGCAGAAGGCTGCGGCTTGGCCCGGGCCCGGCCGCGGACCACAGCAGCGAGTAGCTTCCCCGTTTGAAGCGAGTCGTCTTTGTTTCCCGCAGAGTCCTTATCCTCACTTTGCTTTAATTTTTCTTCTGCTTCGATTTTTAAAAATTTTACTTTGTTAGTATTCAAAAACCAGAGGACACTAGTTTTTTGTTTCTTTTGGAGACTCGTCTTGAGCCTGCGAGTCCATAATTCGTGGACACGACTTGGAGCATTCCGTCAGACTCTGCGGCCAGCCAGAGGCGCTGCTCACTGACCGGCAGCGTTCCTGCTCTGGCCGCATCTGCCCGCCCGTCTCCCGGAGCTGGTTCAGTCTTCTTCAGGGGAGGCAGCGTGAGCTGCTCGGCACCCACCAGGCCAGCGGCCCGCGAAGCGCCTTCCTCTGCAGACCGGGGCCCCGTCTTGGCCTGTCTGGCCCGGGCGGGGGCGGCCGAGGCTTGCAGAGGTGCGGCCAGCTGGCCCGCGGCCCGCCAGGCCGAGTGGCTGTGCGCCGGCTTCGCGTGCTGTCGGCCCGCCGAGGCCTAGGCGAGACGTAGTGAGCTGTGTGACTAAACACCGACATTCTCCGCTAAAGAGTTGGCGCTTTTTCATGTGACCTCTGAAGCACCAAAACAAACATGGAAGAGGCCGGGTGGGAGGCCCTGGGCTCTGAAGCCCGCGCCCGGGGCACGCTCGCTCTGCTGTGCTGGGGCTGGTCCCGAGAGAGCCGGGCAGGCAGAGCCGGGCTGTGCCCTCGTGTGGAGGCAGGAGGGCCCACTCTGGCTCCCGACGCCGAGGCCTGGCCCGCAGCGTGGTTCCAGTGGCCTCCGCATCCTCCTCTGTGAAGGTGAAGAACGCCGGATACCTCGTCCGCGTGTTAAACTCCCCCCCACACAAAGCACTTGAGAGAGGCCCAGTGAAATCTGCGGTCACCTGGTGTAGCTGTGTAGAAGCTTCACCTCTGCGTCCTGACCGGGGTGGATGATCTGTGACGCGTGTCCGTACACGCGTGCACAGGGGTGTGATTAAGGCAGAGGGCGCAGGACATTTTTTTGTGGTATGAAGTCAGTGTCATTCTCGTACACTAGGGAACAGCGAAACTGCCTTACCCGAAGGGTTTACCGCTTAGTCGTGCAGAATGTATATTTTCACAGGCCCAAGTTCGCATCACCATGTGATCAGCCACGAGCACCTCAAAATTCCTAGGCCTTTGGCTGTCGTCACCAGGTCTGGAATTAATTTGTGATCGAAGACAATCCTGATTCTTTTCTGTTCTCATCATGTTCGCTCCCCCTTGTAGCAGGACTAAGAAGGGACCTTGTTAAGTGGCTCCTGCCCTTTCAGTATGTACGTGAGCGTTTGTGTATTTCAACAAAGTGGTGCGGTTCATAGTTACGCGCCCTGCCTGAAGAATTTGCAAGACACTTAGACTGTTGGGAAGAGCAGGCGTGGCTTTGTGAAAATCAGTCAGTAGAGGGCCCCGGGCTTTGAGCAGTGCCCAAGGGCAGTGCGCTTTGCCCGGGCTGGGAGGAGAGCCCGGCCCAGCTCCCGGTCTGCACAGCCGCCCAGGGCCGCCCAGGATCCTCCCTGCTGCGGGCTGGCGTCCGGGCTCTGCTGGTCGTGGCCAGCAGTGCCACAGACCCCAGGCCCCGCGCGCACTGCCGCCCGGGCAGAAGTCGGGGTGCGGGCTGTGGTCCCCAGCGTCCTTTTGAAGGAGCGGCCCGGGCCACTTGGGCTGAGGCTGGCCTTCGCGGCATCGGCAGGCAGCTTGGGAAACTGCTGCTGGGCCATAGGTGGCGCTGTTGCGCCTCACAGCCGCCTCCAGTCTGCAGCGCAAACCGCGCTCTCATTTGATTGCCTTGGTTAACTTTCGGGATAGCAGTGCCCCTTAGGTGTTGGTACCTGGAGGAAGCGTTCTATCCATGTCTTGTTTTTGTTCTGTCCTCCCAGCGTGAACATTTCAGATGTGCTGTGTGAGCAATAGCTGTATCAGAACCCAGCCAGCCATGATTATTTAAGAAAAGATTTTAGTTTATTTATGCATAAAGAGCTGGGGTGCAGGCCAGAGGTGTGGCAGTGAGAGGACTCCCCAGAGACAGAGTGGGGAGCAGAACAGGCAGATCCACTGAGACGCACCGTGGAGGGGAGCAGCGGGGGACAGGAGGGGTCTGCTGTGCCCTGGGGGTCACCCCTGGCCGGTGGTTGGACTCACAGCGACAGCTCCATAGTGCTGAGGATTAACCCTGTGCACCCCCAGGAAGGGCCCCAGCTGTGGTTTTATAAGCAAGACACACTCAGTCCCTGAACCACCGTGACGCCGAAACGCACCCAGCCCCGCGTGGCGCAGCAGCGGCAGG